ATTATGGAAAATAATGTAATTGAATTAATTCCTTAATTTATAGTAAAAAATGATTCGGTATCTTAAATATAATATAAATAGAAAACACCAAGTTTAAGTAGAATTTGTAATAATCATAAAAAGGAAATAATTATGATTGATATGGACTCTTAAGAGAAAAAAATTGAAGATAGATTTGTATGTGTTGATTGCATTTCTGAGAATCCAAATACAAAGTATTAAACAATTGAAAATGTTGATAAATAATGGAAGGATTATAACACAGAAACTGATAGGATTTTAAAGGAATACAAAAATGAAAGCAAAGAAAAAAAATCTGAATTATTTAACTAAATAGCATTAATGAGAAAAAATTACAATAAAAAATTGAATGAAATAAGTGATAAATTAATTTCTGAATAATTTTTATGCATGGATAAAACTAATTAATCAAATTAAATAAAAAGAATATCAATTTAAGCATTAGGTGATGAATAATTGTTGAAGGATTTAAAGTAGTTAATTGATAAGGAAAAAGAAAAAGTATCATAAAGCCAAATAATTACGAATTAAATTAATAAAGACTCAATTTTCAAAAAAGATATTTAATATCATTTAGAATTTTACAATAATATGATTAACAAGATATTTAAACATCATTAGATATACTAAAGGATATTACAAGTATAAATTTATTAAATTGTTTATAGTTGAAAAGAGTTTAATTATTTAATTAACTGATATGATATAAGAAATTTAAAAATGTGGTTAAAAGGATGAAAACTACAAAAACCATATTAACTTTATCAAAGATATTTAAGAATTAATTGATTATGCTAAAAAATATCAATGCTAATTAAATCTTTTTGATTAGACTATTACAGTTTATTAATAACATGTTTAGAGGATAGAAAAAAATCTCTAAAATATTTAGCTTAAATAGTAAGATCAAACAGTGAAATCAGAATAATTAAAGTCCTAATATTCTAAACTATAGAATATTTTGAATGAATATGCAAATACATTTGATAATCATAGCATAGAATTGAAAAAATATTGTAATATTAAATAGTTAGAAAATAACATCAAATAGTTAGAGAATGATGTAATAAAATTAACAGAATCTAATAAAAATTTAGAAACTGAAAGTAATGCTATATAATTTTATATAGAAAATAATTTAGTAATTTAAATGTAAGAGTCGTTTAAGTAGAAATTCAATGAGATAAATCAAACATTAGAATAAAAGGAAAAAGAATAAAAAAATATGAAAGAATAATATGAATAAACAATTAAAGATAATAAAAAGTAATATGAATAGGATAAATAAGTAATGATGAAGAAATTTGAAGATGAATGTAATAGATTTTGATATTATTTTATCATAGAAAATAAAGTAAAATAGGAATTTAATTAAAATTTAAGTTAAAAAATATCAGAATTATAAGAAGCATTAACCAAACTTGATTAAATTAATAAAATTAAGTTAGAATAAGAAAAATTAAATAAAATCCAATTAGAAAAAGTATATTTATAATCAATTTATTATATTATTTTTAGATTCAATTATATAACAAATCATTATCATTTTCAAATA